CTATGTGCTTCGCGTACGGTGCCGCTCGCAAAACTACGGCTTGTGGAGCAAGTGGAGCCAGCCGTTGCTGATGAACATTCCTTCTCGGCCACAAGCAGGTACAGGTACGATGTCCCCACCGATGTGAGCGTCCATCTACAAGCAGCCGTGGTAGCAGGGAATGGGCATTATTGCATTTGTTCCCCAGGCCTTTCAACTTTGACTGTTTTCATAAAAGAGAATCTATTATGTTTCAGCCAATTATTATATTAAGTATTCGGGCTGATCATGCAAGGCCTTACAGAATGTTGTGTTTTATGAGGGTCAACCAGTTCAGGGTGTCCCCCGACTACTGCCCGTAAACAGCTGGGATAGGCTCCAGCCTGCCCGCGAACCTCGTGAGGATAAGCGGATTAGAAAATGGATGGATGGATGTTATTAGGTGAGAGGCAATATCAGCAAAGCATTTTGATATATATTTGAGCATAAACTAACAAGACTACAAAATGAAGACAGGAAACTGTTGGAAATAAGCTAATCGTTTAATAATTTAATTCGCCAAAATTAGAATTTAGGTTGTAAGTAAAAGTCTTTTGATTCTGATCTTGTTCACTTTGTTCCCTTCATTGAAGCAGACACACTCATCATGGTGATTCTGGTGACAACCATCAGCATGATGGCGATCTTGGCCTTCTCTGTGTGTGTCATTCCACAATGTGTGAGGTGAGAATTCACATTCCTTTTCTTCATGTGCAATGAAAAGCTCCCCTGTACCTTTCCCTTAAATCTGGCATCCTACTGTTTCACCATGCAGAGTGAAAAACTTCTTTTGGCCACCTATTCCAAAACCACGCATCATCGGCATTGACCCGCTGCTTTTGAAGGTAACGCAAGTTCCATCTTCTATGTGTCCTCTGTCTTCTGCTCACCACAGGTGGCTTACAAACTCACACTCTATATTTCAGTAAGTACGGTATATTTTAAAGTAAAAGTACTGAGTCGACTCATTTAAAAGGGCGAGGCGGGGGTTAGTGTTAAAACTGCTAGCAAGTCTCTGACGCCCCTCACTAAATGTGCATGAGCACGATTGTTACACATGGGCATACATAATGGCATGTGATGATGAAAATTTGTAGTTGTGGAAATAGTCACAGAGAGCACATATCTTGTATCCACAAATTAGCAGCGCTAGCAATAATAGGCTTGCGACATTGCGGCTGCTATGTTCCTTGCATGCTCATTCGGAATGCAGTGTTACCATGACCATAAATGCAATCGGTTTGGAGTTTTATTTTTTGGAATGTACAGTCAATTAAAGCTCAAAAGAGGTGATAAATGTGCCTCTCGGGCAGAAACGTTGCTAGCTTCGCATTGCTCCTGAATCGTCTCTGCTCTCTGAGCTCGATTTCCTCTGCTTCTGTATGCTAGTATTTTGCCCAGTTAGAAATCTAATTTGAGGCACAAGATGTAGCCAGAGATGGCTGATTTTTATTCACATGGTCATTTAATTGTCAGTGAATATACTGTAGATTATTGCAAAGTATTCCTCCTCCTGTGAGTCAGAGAGAGAGAGAAAGAAAGAATGAAAAAACATCACTGACATCTTGAGAGACTTTTTGATGTCCATTCAATTTGCTTCCCACTCTGCGTCCTCAGAAGGGGAACTTGGATGAAATCAACCGCCACCTGACTAATTTCCATGGCTTCGTAGCTCCCAGCTTCCTGGATACCGAGGTATGGGAGCAGGTGAGCCCTGACAACATCTATCTCGCCACGGCCAAAGACTGCCCCAATCCCACCAAGTCACCCAGCCAGGTGACGGATGCCTTCACCATCCCACACGACTTGGCACCCACCACAACTCTTCATCAACTCGTGAGCGAGCCTCCAACAGCATTCATGCCAAGCGCATACTGCATGTCTCCTCCTCAAGCCTTCTCGCCAACCCTGTGGCCAGAGAGCAATTACAGCATGACGGGACAGCCAAATGCACCGCCACCTGCCCTCTCTACTACCTGCCCCCCGCAGAACCTCTACAGCTGTGTGCAGCTCATGAACGACATAGATGGGCTGCAATTGGTGCCGTGCCTACCACCGGTCTATAGCGAGCTCCCGCCACTGCCCGAGTCTAAATTACATGCCAGCGTAAAGGAGGAAGATGAGGAGAAGCTGGCAGACGGCCAGGCCAAAAAGAAAGATGCTGCTTTAGCTAATGAGAGCTGAGCGGATCACAAGATGCGCAGAACCACAAACACAATTGGATTTGGTGGTTTAAAGGAACAAGTTAACTTCTTTCATCTCTTCTGCCATCAAGAGGTCCACAACAGTGGAGACAAGAAGACATTTGTTGTTGTTTTTGTGAATCATGCACCACTTGATTCTCAGAAAAAAAAAATCGGAATCAAATTCGGAAATAGAGTTTTGCGAGTCCCTGAAGCAGGAAGCCTGTTCCAACATGACCTCAATTGGCATCTGGATCTTAATTGGAATCGGAAGGCTTCCAAAAGTCGGAAACTGATGACAGAAGTGAAACACCTCCCTCTCCCGTCCACAAAGGTGCAAAAGAGGGACCCTGCCCAGCTAGTAGATAACGTAATGATAGTTAATCTATTTTCATTTGTGATGTGTCATTGGGAAAATACCCCTCAGGTCTCTATCTCCCAGTCAACAAACATCATCGATGGGCCCTTAATGATTCCCTAAGCGCCCCCAGATTTCGGTGCCACATCCCTGTTCACAATGTGCTTGGTTTCATTGTAAACTATCAACCACGGTTCTTTGAAGGTTTTCAATGCTGAGTAACCAGATTGTGTTTTGTGTTAATGTGTTATGTAATACATTCTATTTCCAAAACATGTTTGTGGAGAGGAAGAAGAGATTGTACATAGTGCCTATCTGATATTATAATTATAATGGATGAGGAAAACTACAGTATGACTTTTCCCCTTTGGTGTGGGTCAGACAATCAACCAGCTCACCCATAAAGAGATCCTGCTGCTTTTGCTTCATCCAGAGCATGAGAAGAGTTGAGAGCAGTGGTAGGACAACTCATGGTTGCTTCAACATGACAACACAGCTGCTCACAATGCCCTCAACATCTGACAGTTCCTGGCTGAGAAGAACATCAGCCCTGCTGGACCAACCTCCCTTGTCTGTACTCACCCAACCCGGTGGTTTTTCCTCTTTCCCAAGCTCAAAGAGACCCGTTAGACCTCACATCTACAAATGCCGCTCGCCCAACATGGAGGTGTTCACCTGCTGGTGGCATCCGCTCAGCAACCTGACAGAAGGAGAGGAGGTGAACTACGTGCTCACTTATTCCAAAGAGTATGAACACACTTATTATCTTCGTAAAAAAGAAAAATTACATACACATTTGATGACTCCCACAGGGCTGCGTGATGAAATTGGAGGTGCTGGAATTGAAATGACATGATGGAAGTGATTGCTCTGATGATTTATTCTTTGTTCCTTTCAGCAAAGGGCCCAAGCGTGAGTGTCCTGACTACACAAGCGCCGGTGCCAACAGCTGCCATTTTGACAGCAGCCATACATTCATATGGAACATCTACTGCATGAATGTCACGGCTGTCATGGCTCGCCAAAACGTCACTTCACCACAGCACTGCCTCGATGTGGCCGACATTGGTAAGGACAAATGCGGAAGCCCGCGTCAAAGTCGGCTTTATTGCAAAAGACCACATGTACAAAGATCGTAGTACACGTGAATTGAAATGATAAAGAAATAATCCTGATAAAAAGTTCCAAACATATATTTACCTGTACAGTGCTGTGCTAATTTGTTCCAAGATCACACTCGCAATTCTAAAAACGATTTCTTTAATCAGGAAAATAGCACTACAGCTGATAGTAATGTACTTAATAAACAAAGTACCAACATAATTAAATAGAATGTAAAGTGTTAAACAGTTTGTGTATTCATTCTATTGTTGATGGTGTCGTGGTACACTCGCGCGACTTGTGTGCGGGCAGCGTGGGATCTGTTCACACTCAGTGGTGGCGTGAGTGTGTATGATTGTCTCTATATTTGCCCTGTGACTGACTGGCGATCAGTTCTGGGGTTGATCCGCAATTCGCCCAAAGTCAGCTAGGATTGGCTCCAGCAACTCCCGTGACCCTCTCCAGGATAAGCGATGTTGAAAATGGATGTGTGGATGTATTCATTGCCTCATCTGGTGTGTGACTTGGCCACTGGGGGCAGTATAATACAGTCATGCAGAAACAATCAAAGGAGAGTTCCACAAGTACATATATATATCAGTTCTGGGGTTGATCCGCAATTCGCCCAAAGTCAGCTAGGATTGGCTCCAGCAACTCCCGTGACCCTCTCCAGGATAAGCGATGTTGAAAATGGATGTGTGGATGTATTCATTGCCTCATCTGGTGTGTGACTTGGCCACTGGGGGCAGTATAATACAGTCATGCAGAAACAATCAAAGGAGAGTTCCACAAGTACATATATATACCTGTATACCGTATATATACTCTGACCAGTAAGATGCAGCATTATACAGTGGATCCCGCATACTCGTGGTTCGTCACGTGCAGATTTACCTATTCACTGTCATGATCCTATCTTGTTTTTTTTGTTGTTTTTTTTTGGGGGGGGGGGGGGGCGTTGTTTAATGCACGACGGG